TCCACGCTGCCGCCGTCGTCCAGAAACCGCAGCGCGCTCCCTTGCAGCACCGCCAGCTGCCCCACGCACCTCACGGCCCGCCGGACGGTGCGGAGCACGTTCTGCTGAGCGTCCGCCACCATGGCCGGAATGTCTGCGCAGCATCCCTGCGGGGCAGAGTGACCCGCGACAGCGGGCGGGTGAGGAGGCGACGGGAAAACGACGCGAAGACGATCAGTGCTGCGCTTCGCAGGTGTCGGGGCCAGAAAACACGCAGCCCCGTAGCCGCCAACGGCTGGAGGCCGGCCGAGCCGCACGGCGGCCTCTGCCCTGAGACCCGCCGCTCCGGCGGGACCCGCACGTGCGGCCGACGTCACCGGGAGGGATGGCGGGGGAGGGACAGGGACGGCGCTTCCCACCCACGGCTCCGTCTCCACCAGTGGGTGACCCTGAGCCTCTCTGCCACCTGCCGACCGTAGTGACCCTTCGGATCTGAGAGCCAACCAGGCGTTTCTGTCACTGTTTCCAGCACGGACCACCCTCCCGCCAGCCCAGGGCCAGGCTTCAGGGCATGGCGTCCCTGTGCCCCCCACCTGTTCCCTCAGCACCACGCCCAAAGTGACCCTTCGTCCACTGTGAACTTAGGATCCACCCAACAACTTCGCCCTCACAGCCACACCTAATCTTACCTGATACAGGTAAACAGAATAAAAGTCTGTTTCCTTGGCAAAACATCACCAGGCTGTGACTGAGCGCGAGCCGAAACCCGCCTGTGAGCAGGGCAGGACATCACCTCTTCTCCCGACGGAGGGTCAGTGGAGTGTGGTGACACGAGCCTGGGCCCGAGTCCCAACTCTGTCCCTGAGCAGCTCTGTGACATGAACGGGCTACTGTCCCCCGCCCCCAACGGTGGCATTCTCGGCCCTGACTCCCGGGTGTGGTGGGGATTAACTGTGGTAACAGCTGTAAGTGACAAGGGTCCTGCTTCGACAAGCCAGTCAGACACCCACAGCGTCAGGCTTTCCAAACAGAAGCCACTTCTGAAAATCCTCCAGCTCGAGTTTTGGGGACGTGCAGACCAGTAACTACTCATGGGGGAAGCGAGTTCCTCACGGGACACCCAGCGAGTCAGCTCACCTGCAGGAACAGCTGCAAGTGGCTCCCAAGCTTCCTGACGGCCTCACCCAGCTCGTCTCCGAGGCTCGCCGCGCCGGCGGCCGGGTCCACGCTGCGCGGCCAGTGCGCGGCCAACACCACCAGCTGCCCGAAGGCACACGTGAGCCGGACGGTATGCGCCTGGGCCTCGCGGTCGGAGAACACTTCGGGAGGAGGAGGAGGACAGTTAGTGGGAAGGGCCCCCGCAGGTGACACGTGTCCACACACGGACACAAACATGCACACGTGTGGACACGCGCACACGCATGAACACACGTGCACACACGCAAAGCCATGCACACACATGCACACGCGCGGACACACGACACTGGCAGGAAGCGCGGCACGTGGGGCGGCCCCCAGCCCACAGTGCCGCGTGCAGAGAACATTGGGATGCAGCCGGAGGGGCGAGGGGCTTACGGCCGTCTGGACTGTCTTCGTCCTGGTCCTCGTAGGCGCGGGAGACAGCGTGCAGCCCCGCGTAAACCCGGAGGAAGCCGCCCAGCAGGCCGTCCGCCGCGCTTTCTGCCCCGCAGCCCCTCGCCAGCGCAGCCGCGGACGAGCCGATCAGCTCTCTGCAACTCCCAGGAAGGACGGGGGGTCGGCCGCTCCGGGGCACAGGGCGCCCGAGGTCCCCGCAGAGCCTGGTTCAGCATTTTTTTTCAGTCTGGCCTCCCGGACGACGCTTCACACGAGAGTCAGTGTCCCAGAGACACCTGCCGGGGTGCTCAAGCGGGCTATGCGACTTCAGCACGTCTTCACTCCCAGACGCCACGGCGAACACGCAGACCCCCAGGGACCGGTCTCCCTCGGTGACATCACCCTCTGTGTGCCCGTCCTGCCCGCCCCAACCGCAGCACTTCCGGCCAGCACCGCTCCCCAGGGACCTGGCTCACTCACGCACACCGCCCCCTCCTCATGCATCCACGCACGGACACACCACCTCCCGCACTTGGCTTTTCCCGTGTAAGACAATGGCATGCTCGTGCGTGTCTGTGCACGCACACGCCTTCCACGCCTGAACCTGCCGCCCTGGAGCTTCAGCCGAGGAGCGGGCCAGCCGGGAAACAGAAGCTTCTAGGAGCTGATCTGCACAAGGGCCTGACACGGGGCAGGGGTGGCAGAGCCAGGACTTACGTCCGCAAGGACACTCGGTGACAAACCTACCCCAGGAATATGACGAGTGCGAGTTCTGAATCGGGTGAGCCTGGACGTCACGCAAACAGCCAGAAATCCTCCTATTCTTCGCCAAGCTCCTGCTCCTGAAAGGGAGAAACCGTAAGACCAGGGGTTTCACGCTGCCTGGAGCACGTCACCAGCGATGTTCACTTTTACGTGCTCTAAAGAAAACGGACATGCATGGTGTTTTCCACAGAAATGTTCATCAAGAAGCAGATTCATTTAGCTCTGAGCGAGAATCTGACTATTCACAGCCCTGCTCTGAGCATCTAGCTGTTAAACAGAATCGGCATCTAGAGTCTGTCCCTTACAGGCCCTGGACACTGCAGTGGACACGGCGAGCATGGTTTCTGGCTGAGTTTAAGTCACAGGAGAGGAATGAGGGCAGGGGGCCGGGGCAGACTCGGGGAGAACCCGAGCTGGCCCCGGGATTGAGGACCAGGGGGCCTCTGGGAGCAGTAGCACTGAGGGACCAGGGGGGCCAATGGGACAGGGAGGCGGGTGTGGGGCGCAGGGGCGGGCGTTCCAGATAGGGCGCCGGGATGTGGGAAGGGCTGCGGTGCAGGACGTGACGGGTCGGGGACGAGGCTAGGGGGTGCAGGGGCCAGCTGGAGGGTGGAAGCCTTGTTTCTCGTTAACAAACGGCTCTGGTCACGTACAGACGGTCTCTGTCACTGAGACTTCGTCTTCTGTGGTGCTCATCCTAACTGCACCGCATTTAAAATTCTACAACTTACAATCAGCTCTCACAGAATACTCCGGGTTCTTGAGAAAGGGTAATTTTAAAGTCATAACTATTATTCATTTGTATAGGAAATTAAATTTATACTATGCTCAGTTGCTCTTCGGACTCATATGGCAAAATACTGAGCATTTTCGTTCCTGTTTCGACTGACACATGACTTCATGCCCAGTGCTGTGATCCGATCGGCAACGTGCCATTTCGTTTCCGTTACTGGGTTCCCCTCACAGACCTGTCCATCACGATGACAGACAGTTCTTTCAAATAAGGAAACGATACGTGTTCGCCCTGTACGAACGAGGAAACTGACGAGGACAACGTCACTACCTCCGTCTGGAAAGCGAGGCGAGGGGCGTGTCCGTGATGTCGGGCTCCCACTCGTCGTCGGGGTCACAGAAGATGTCCTCGCTCCGGGCGCCGCCGTTACTCTAAGGAAACAAACCAACCAGTTTCTCATAATTTTGACTTCTTAAGTATTTAGCAGCTGAAGAAAAACCAGTTTAAATACTTCGTTACACTTAAAATATAAAATCAGCAAAATTACGTTATCTGAGAAAAAGTCTAAAAAGAATCACGTTCCTGATCCAACGAGAAATCAGTCGCACGATGCTAGGAACTGAATTAAAAGAGATGCACGAGTAAAGGCAAGAGACGTCATTAAATGATCCAGGAACGAACGCGGGATGGGAGAGACAGCGAAAGCGACGCAGGCGAAACCCGCGGGAGAGAAATAGAGACCCCAATGCTAGGGCTCCTCGCGCCCTGGTCGGATGAGCCGATCGTGGCGACACCCACGGCGTCATTCCAGTAGTGAAAGCAGTAACGATGAAAGTGCTAGTAAAATCCTACGTGGACGTTAATCCAGAAACAGTACAGCGAGATGGAAAGGTAAGTAGAGAACGTTGCCATGACGATACGGCACGTAAGGGGACAGAGGGCCCCTCGCTGCTGGACCTAACGACGGCGTCGATGGAGGGGCCGCGACAGGCTTTGCTGTTCTCGTTGCATAAGCAGTTCACGTTCACGGGGAGAACCTGGGAGTTACTAAGACATATAAACACAAAGGGAAAAAACCTAACCGCTCACAAGCCCATCGTTTAGAGATAAACACTGTCGGTGTTTGGGGGCTTCTGTTGTGGACACAGTTATAACTATAGGAAAAGAATCCAGCAAACCCTGCGAGCAGGCAAAGGTAACGTAAAAACCCCGAACTGTTACTGCTGGTTGCTTTGGGACATGTGGATGGCCTTTCATTTGCCAAATTTGCTTTACTGAGAACACGCCATTTTCACGTGCTTATTCCAAGAGCGTGGCCCGGGCTCACCGTCACGCGGACCTCATAGAGCTCCTTCATGGCCGCGAGCTTAGACTCGAACTTCTCCAGGCTCCAGGAGGTGCAGACGCCCAGTCGGAGGTCCTGCACGCGGACGCGGGTGCCGGAGCCACACCCGTCCCCCGGTGTGGCATGTCTGCAGAGAGAGCAGAGAGACGCTCATGGAAACGGCCCCGGGTGCTGAGCGTCGAGTCAGAGCCACCCCGAGGAGCTCGGAGCTCGGGCCACCGACGGCGCCTCGTTACAGGCACAGCCCCGTCTGGTGTGCGCACGTGAAAACAACTTCTCATGCAGAAGTCTATAAACCGAAAAGTGCTAAGGTACATCCCCTCTGAAATGTGAAATGCTGATAAATTTTCAAAATCAAAGGAAAATCGGTGAACCCTAAGGCCTCTACGATTATGCTGTTTATAAAATGCAGTGGTGTCAGCGGCTGGAAGCCCTTCTGCTGGGCCTAGGAGGGGCGTCCGAGCACGGCACCGGGGATCCTGACACCGCCCGTCCCTGGACAGCACAATGCCGTGTCTTTAGAGAAACTAAAACAAGTCAAAATGACTGATGATAATAAACAATAGAAAAGGCAACTATTTTAAAACAGAATTCCCTTCCAAGTGGGATAATCGATCACTCACCTGCCGAAAACATAATGTCTTTTGAATTTGCTGCTGATGGCGTTGGCTTCCTGAATCATCATGGACAGTTTCATGGAGCTCCAGTTTGTCTGGACTAATCGAAAACACAGAGAAGGTTCAAAACACACATATGAGCGCTAATGGGGTCAGAACAATGCCTGAAAGAAATCACCGATTTTAAACAAACGGGTTTAACTATGTGTTACAGAAAGTAAGGGCGGTATCTGAGTAACTTCAAGTTTGGTGAAACAAAACATTCTGCACATAAAATGAGGTCTTTCTCAGTTCTTCACCTCTGCAGGTGAAAAGAGATTTGAAGGTCCATCTACCACTCAGAGCGTGTGGGCCATGTTTTCATCCTGACTCAAACAAACCAAAGACCAAAACGTGTTCATGAAATAATCCGGGAAACCTGAATATGGCCTGGCTTTTCAATGAGGACAAGAAGTTGTGGTGTGTATTTTAGGACTGTAATTCTACACAGTATGCCTAACAAGAACAGAGAGACGCAGTGTGGCATTTACAGATCGAATGACACAACATCTGGGACTTGCCGCAGGCCAGTCCACAGCACTCGGGCCGAGGACGGCTGGGACGAGCCTGCCCAGGTGCTGGTGCTGGGGACAGGCGGGGGCGTGAGGGTTCACTGCGGGGATCGCTCCATTTTTATAGTTTTATAGTTTCTTTTCCGTAATGAAAAAAAAGTTCACAGTAAAAACACGCTGTGTTCCACACAGAAATCTCAGAATGCTCCCAGAAAATAACGTCTAAGCGAAAAAGAAGATGAAGTACTCGATGACTGACTACGGTTTAGACGTAAGACGAGAACGAAGGATTAGAAGACGTATTTCTTAAAGCGTGTTATCCGTTAACATAACACCAAATGCTCTAAATAGGTAAATATTTTGAAAACTGAATACTCTAAAAACCGTCACCCGTACAAAGAAATCTAGATCCAGAAGAGCTGACATCTGGACTAAAACATGTCTAATACGCAAAGACAACTGACTGTGCCCTTTCGGGATTACGGGAGACAACGCTCGGCCGCAGGAGACGCCACGCCGGCCCCGCCACACTCACTGGCAAAGGTTCTGTCGCGGCCGCCCCGACTCTGCTGCAGGGATTGTACTTCTGCAGCGATCTTCTGCTTCTCAGCTTCCAGGGCCTCCAGAATCCTCGCGTGGCGGATGCTGTGGTCCTCCAGAACCTGCGGGACGGTCGCAGGGCCTGGGCGTCAGTGCCAAGACAGAAGGTACAAAGCCTGGGCGACCGGCCAGCACGTGATCCAGCCTCGTTCACAGTACGCAGTTTACTGAGCATAAGAGGCTTTCAAAAGTGATTCGTAAACTATCTTTATACAATAATTTCCCCCCTACAAAATCTTTTTCTTTCCGTCGATAGGAAGTAAAACCTCATTTGACACAAAGAAGCCCGACGACAGCCCACAAATAATAATTGTTTTAAGATTCAAACGATTCTATTTTTCCTCCTAAAACCCTCTGAGGTGGCTGACTGGCCCTCTGTCCTGGAGTTGACCAGCAATGTACGGCCACCACAGCAGTGTCCGAACTTCGCGGTCACCAGGGGTGTTTCCTTCCACCCCACCCCTGCCACAGACTTGGAGAAGAGAAATAAAATCAATGTTTGGAATAAGCTCTGGGCTGGAGACCGAGGGGCTGAAGCAGATGGCGTCGGCGGCTCCCTAACCGTGGGCCCCCCAGGACCCCTGCAGAGCACGTCTGGGGTTCGGCATCCAACAGGAAGGCTGTCTGGCCGGCCAGGGACCCCGCTGTGAGAACCGCCACGATAAAGAGCGACAGGGGCCACGAGGCTGGCTGAGAGGTGACGGGCGGTGTCAACACACGGGCACCCTGGTTCAACTCCAGTCCTGCGGACCTGGCTGGTGGGTGGCCCCGAAAGGTGACAACACAGCCAGAGACTCAGCTCACGACTCAGGGGGCCCTGGCCCCACGGCAGACAGCTCCGGGCGCCATCGGGGAGTGGCCTTGAGCCCCGGCACCATCTGTCCTCCACGCCGGGCCCCTGTGAGCCGGACCCGGAGTCGGCCCCACCGCGAGTCCTCAGGAGCAGAACGAACCCGGCCCTTCCTGCACGCGGCACGACGGGCTGCAGAGCGAAGTCACCTGTCTCGCGGCCAGAGCCTCCACGTGCAGCCGCGTCCTGCCGACCCGCACCTCCTGCTCCAGCTGCCGCTTTGCCTCTTCCAGTTCCTCGATCCTGTCGTTGGCCTTCTGGTTACTTATTTCCTGCAGTTTCTTCCTCTGAGACTCTTCTTTCTTTAAAGAACAACAAAAACAAACTAGGACAAACAAACAAAGCATTTTTTTGAAAATGCACAAGGCACGAAAGGTCCCCTCCCTCAGCCAAGGCCACGGAAGTCGCCCTGCGGCTGCTCTGCCGGCTTCATGCTGCCGCCTGATGCACAAACCGCCCCGGCCGGAGCTCTGGGGGTGCAGGCGGCCATGGAGACGGCTGGGGCTCGGCGCTGGGGGGCCCTGCCGTGCCACCACGGCCCCCTTGAAAGTCACCATGCGGCGCTTCCAAACGTGCATCTGTGACGGCCGGCTCGGGCTGGCCGGGGGCACAGGGGAGAGTTCCAGGAGCAGGGAGGAGGGGACGAACGAGGCCGGGACACGAGGGAGCTACAGGTGGCTCCTCGGCTCTGCCCTCCCACTGCCGCCGCCAACGTGTTTGTCGGGGAGCCGTGGAGGCCACGGGACGCGTCCGTCAGGGAGACGCGGCGGGGGCCACGTGACGCGTCCGTCAGGGAGACAAGGCAGGGGCCACGTGACGCGTCCGTCAGGGAGACACGGCGGGGGCCACGTGACGCATCCATCAGGGAGACACAGCGGGGGCCACGTGCCGCGTCCCTCAGAGAGCAGGCACGTCAGGGAGACGCGGCGGGGGCCACGTGACGCGTCCGTCAGGGAGACGCGGCCGAGGCCGGCGCCCCCACTCCCGGCGGGGACTCGGCGCTCTCACCAGCTCGGCCTCCAGCGCCCCGATCCGGCTCTCGTAGGCGGCCTTCTGCGAGGACAGCTCCCGCCGGGCCATCTCTTCCGCGACCCGGATGCCTCGCAGCGTCTCCTCCCTGGCTCTCAGCTGCGCCTCCCTCACCTCTGCTTCCAGCCTGCGGAGCAGAGCGGGCTGGGCCCCCGGGAACCCCTCACCCCTCACCGCCCGGCGCCGCGGGGAACTCTGAGTCTCAGACCCCATCTCTGACGTCCCCTCCATAACGTCCTCAAGTTTTCACTGGCTTTAGAATGATTTACACGAGGAAATGTGAAAGGATGGAAATTTGCTTGGTATTTAGGAAAATGTGATTTTCTAACACTTAGGAAAATTAGTTACATAGAAATACGACGTTGTGGCGAGCTCCGCAGTAAACAGTGAACGTCGATAAGGGTATTTTATGGTGCACCAGCGACGGCTGGAGCAAAAACGACAGGTCACGTGTGGGTCACAGATTAGGGAACAGCGAGGGACGCTGAAAGCACCGGGGGCTACGGGCAGCTGGTGCGGGGCCGACAGGGCAGGGCCGTCCGGCCTCCCCAGGGCTGTGTCCCCACCCTCCAGAACCTTCCGCTGACCGCCTCGGCCAGGAGCCACCCCACATGCTGTCTGCCTGTCGCCCACGCGGGGACGAGGTCCTCCGTGCGGGGCACGGCACCCAGCACGGTGCAGGCACGGCACCTGCCCAGTGGGCACTTGGGGACCAAGTGACAGCACCCAGGGAAAAGACTAGAAGGCAGTGCCCGAAGGGGTAACCGCTGGGGCCGGGCACCACCGCCCCCCGCACGGCCACCCTCGCCCCACGATACTCACTGTGACCGCTGAGCCACCAGCAGCTCGTTCTTCGCAAACTCAAAGTCCTTTGGGCCCTCGCCGGCCGGTCTCTTCCCACTCTTCACCTCCGCTGGGTGGTTGAACCTAAAATAGTGCTCGCCACCAAGGACCAGACGGTCGCCCTGCAGCACACGGAAACGTCACGCGGGACGTGAGCCGAGGCGGACACCACGCGGGGGCAGCCGCCGTGCTCGGACACCCAATGCAGCCCAGCGCTGATGACGGGCACCGAAGCCCCGCGACCAACGCTCATGAGTGTCTTCCGTGCCAAGAGCTACACAGATGTCACCTCATCATGCGTCACAGCGACCCGGTGACACACGTTCTGTCCCGGTTCTAGGAACCAGGGACGCAAAGCGCACAGGCTTAAGAACAGCCGCAGTGAGCGTGTGGGGCGCTGCCCACCCGCAGAGCTGGTGCTGGGAGCGGAACCGCCCTCTCCCGCGACCCGCCTGCCCCTGGCGGACAGGGCACGCGTGAAGTGACCGTGTGCCTGCCTCTGCCTGTGGCACACTGCCTTGGGCCTGCTCTCCCCGTGTCATTCCTGAAAACGCGCTCGCAGGGGTCTTGGCAGTGGTGATCACGGTCGCCCGGACGACTTCAGAGGTCGCACAGCGGACGGCGGGGCCAAGACGACCGGCCTGGCTGCTCCCTGGCCCTTCGCCGGACACAGCGACGCGGCTGGCTCGGCTCATCGGGGCCCGCCTCGCAGTGACAGGGCTTGTGACTTTGCACAGAGGAACGCAGTTGACAAGCGATCGAGAAAGGGAAGTTCCACACTGGGACTCAAATGAACTGAAAATCCTGCCCGGAGCAAACGACGTCTCACGTTTGGCATCGGCCGACTTACGTGATGCAGCACCGTCGGCTCCGAAATGTGTCGCCCATTCACGTACGTCTTTGCGTCCCTGACTGGGACGACGCTCACGGTGCCGTCGAAATTCCTGATGGTGCTGGAGGACAGAGACACACCGTCACCACGACGGGACGGACGGCGACGCGGGACGCGCCCACGAGGGCCATTCCTTTGGTGCTGAGGTTCACGCCAGCTGGCGACAATGACTCAGGATTCGCTCACTGTCCTCCAACTCACTGTGAAGTTTGGGTGAAAAAGCCTGGGCTCTCTAGCAGCTGGATCCGCCGGGGGTAGGAAGAATTTTCGTTGACTGTGTTTTGATGATGCCCACCTTTAAAAAAAGACGGCAACCCCTCTACCCACCCTCCCCGCCCAAATACACAGGAAAAAATGCAAGGGGAAAAATCAAAGTCTCGACATTGGCGTATGTCTAAACGGAACAGTTTTTAAGTGTTCTTATTTTTCACTTTTCTGACTTTGTTTTTATCTGAGCTTAAATAATGGGATGAACATTTTCCTCTCGTGACAAAAGAGGGCGACAGAGGAGAGCACAGAGATAAAGCACGTCACTGGACCATCCCCGGCTGTTGGTGACACTAGAGTATGCGCTACTGATGCTCTACGTCCCGCTGAGTCTTTTTATGCAGAGCACGAAGGAGACCCCAAAGTCCAGCTCAGCTTTGGGTGAGCCAGACAGGAAGGGAGAGGGGGCTGCAGCGAGGCCGCGTCCTGAGCAGGTGCCTCTGGCTGCTGGCCGGGCCTGAGGGCATCGCAGAGCGCAGTCCACCGCAGCATCTGGCGAGAGTGACTCACTGGCAATGTGACTCACCCCGCAATGTGGTGCCGCCAACCCGGTGTGCCCGCCAGCTGAAGGTAAACCACATCTACCTGCCAGGGTCCCCTCCGTCCTCCAGTGCTCTCTGCCCCTCACCAAACCCCTCAGTACTCGGGAGCCCCACTCCCTGGCTGGACCACCAACCTCCCTTGTCTGCCACTGGGTCCCTGAAAGAGCACCCTGAATTTGCCTGGACGACGGCTCCCCTCCCACACAGGAGGCCACTCCCTCATCTCCATCATCTGCCGAGGCCTGACGTAAATGCTGGGGTCCAGGGAGCTCCAGCTGGAGGGGAACCCCTCCTTCTTTCATTTCCAAGCAGTGAGTCTGCAAGACCCGCCTAACATGGGCATCCAAACCAAAACAGGATTCCAGACTACCTTAGGACTTAAACGTGAGCAAAACATCGCGAAGGAAATTTGGGAGACCACCTCCATAACCTCAGTGTAGAAAGGACATCTCAAACGAGACACACGAGACGACAAGCACAAAGGGAAACGCCGAGCACGATGAAACGAAGGCCCTCGACCCGCCTAACGGTGCCACCGGAGAGAAAACATGGACCACGCTGGGAAAAACGCATCTGCAGCACCTGAAGCTCACGGAGGCGACAAGGCCACTTAAGGAACTGTACATCACTAAGGAAAACACAGTCCAACTGAAAGTGGACGGAAGCCACGGACGGGCCAGTCACAGAAACAGAAGTGGCCAAAGAACGTAAGAAAGGTCACTAGTCGAGGCTGCGAAACGGACCCACGACGAGGTGCCACGGCCCGTAAATGACCGTCTGTCAGCGCCGAGAGTCGGCCGGGATGCGGAGCACCAGGGCCCTCGGTGCCCGCGGGCAGACGCTCTCATCGTCCTGGGGACCGATGTGGGATGACCTGGCACGGCTGGGCGTGTGTGTGTCCTACGACCTGGCGTCCCCACTCCAGACGATTTAAAAGTGCGTCCCAAAGGCTAAAGATTATTATTACAGCGTAATCAGAAAACCGTGACATCGACGCAGCCCGGGGACGAACAGAGCTGCTCACGGCTGGAGGGGCCGGTCTGCCGGTCCGAGCTCCGCCGGCTGGCCTCGGGCTCACGGCTCGGTGTCACCTGGGAAACTCCGTTTGTACCAGGAGACGCGTACGCAGACGCTCACAGCAACGCCTGGGCAAAAGTCGCAGACAGCCTGGTGTCTGCCGACAAGGGGGAGGGAGGCTGCGGCCACCCAGGAGGCGGCGATGGCACCACGGAAGAGTCCACAGCACGAAATGGAAGGACGCGGGGATGGGCGAATCCGAAAGCGCAGGGCGGCGCGAAGGCGGCTCCCGCACAAGCGGCACTGTCCCAGCGACGCCGCGTGACCGTCCCGTTCACAGGAACAAAAGCCACGTGACGCGAAAACTAACTCGGCCATCCAACCGCGACCCCGCGCCCGCGGACGGCTAGAACTCCGTCCCGAGCGGCCTGGCCCTCGGCGCAGATCACGCACACGCAACGAAGGGACGGCGTCTTCGCGGGCACTCCCAACGGTCCTTGCAAAACACTCAGAATGCATCCGAAGAGTTACCCCAAAGCATCGGTATAAACGAGTGCCTCGTGTGACAGAAGCCACCGCTGTCAGGGTTAGGGAGCCCACGGAAGAGTGGACAGCTGCCCCCGTTTTGGAAGACGAACATACCAGTGATCCTCAGCAACCAGCACCCCGGACAACTGGATGTCATGGCTGGAGCCTGGGTGACACTTCCCCACGGTGCTGGTCCCCTCTTTGATCACATACAGCAGCATCTCCGACAGCTGAGGGTCTTCGGTGAGGTTGACCAGGTTTGGCAAACGGTTGTCCACTTGAAAAGTAATTCCTGCTTTCTAGAAGTCAGAAAAAAATCAACTGTAACCGTGAGCATGAAACTGTCAAGTTCACTCAACAGAAAGGTCCGTTTTTTTTCTCTCTGTGAGTCTCAGTGACTGGAAGGGCCTCGGACTCTCCCTAGCGGCCGCCCCGGGACAGACGTCTCAGCCGCGTCTCCCTCCTTCACCCTCCCCCGCCCTCAGTCGGGCGAGCACCGACCCGCGGCCAGCGAGTCGTGCCTGTCGTCACCCAGCATCTTTAGAACCTCTGCCCTTGACCCGCCCTGCCCGCTCCGGGAAGGGGTGTCGGTTCCTGTAACAAGGGCCAGTCTCTCTGACTCTTTGCAGAAGCAAAAACGGGACGACGTCCACTCACCTTGGTCCCGCCAAGCCCCGGACTGGGGCGGGAGCGCTGGCTGTGCGGCCGGCCCCCGGGCGCCCACCTTAACGCCGCACGCGCCCCCCGGCCTCGCTGCGCACACGCGGCCCGGGCCGAGGGGTCAAAGCTCCATGTTTACTGGCGTCTGTCTTTAGCGTCTAAGTCACTCAAGAACAGGGAGAGGGTACCTGTAACTCCTTGATTTCCTGAAGTTTTCTTCTTTCTGCTTGTTCGAATTTTTCTTTCCACACTCTTCCCAAAGACAAACAAAACAAGAGCATTAAAAACATCGAGACGTAGGAGACTGGGAATCAAGAGACAGTCGGTGGATTGTGAAACCACTTAGGGCTGCGTATGGCAGTCGGCGTGGGCTGCGCTATTCACGTGGGGGACGGGAGGGCAGAGGCAGAGTCCTCCGCGGCCCCGCCGCCCGCCAGTCCCGGGGTGCCAGGCAACGCTC